TGATGAATGGAGCATTTGTCTTATGATACGCATGATGAATGACAACATTTCTCCACAAAAAAGGATCAGAACATATCGTGTAGAGTCTTCTATTGACTAATCTAAGGGACATCTTATCTCTGAGTGGCAGCATCATGCATATCTCTTGTATTACCTCATTTGGCAGGGAATCAAACGGGTTTGTATAATCCTCATCTTCGTAATCATCTATCAAAGGAAGCTGATTCGCAGTGGATCGATTGACAGGAAGTTCTGACTTGTCATCAAAGAGAGAAAGATCAAATTTGAGTCTTTTACAGCAAGGTTCCATTGTTAGTACTTGATACACGAGAACTCACATGGTGTGTATATTGCGCATGCGCACATGTAAGCCATGTGGAGAGACACTCCCACTGAACTACTCAGCCTATGCAATATTAAAGTTATAATAATCATACCAAATAGTAAAAATTTGCCATTGTAAGAACTAATTACCTAAACAGATTAAACACAATCTTTCATGCAATGTTTCACAAAAAATCATACCTTTTTACTTTAATTTTTTTAATTCTTTAAATTTTAAATTTTACTTTTATTATTTTTATTTTTTTAATTTTAGAAATTTTTAACTTTTTATTTGTATGGCTTTATTTTTTTCTCATTTTTTAATTTTAATTTTTAAAATTTTTATTAATTAATTTATTATTAATGGTAAAGGACTTCCTCCTTGCTAATGAACTAATAAAATTAATTTGATTGAAATTGTTATTAGTGTAAATACTCAAAGTAATTTTTTTGCTATAATAATGCTCAGCATTTGAATACACAAAAATACATAATTATATTTCTACTAAATGGCACAAATTTGGCATGATTCTAGCTGATAATAAGCAAAAAAGGAAGACATTAAATGTGGTGCATGTTGTTTGCAAAGTCATCAGTGGAGTGCATCAATATTTTCATATTGTTTTTCAGTTGTTGATGGACCAGAAATCTGTTCATATTCTGGTGTCTGTGATGAGTAAGCTAAATTAACATCAACTGGGATATCTTTCAGTCTATCAATTGATCTACCTATAAAGTACACACAAAAAATTCAATACACTATGCAGTGTCTATGGTTAAACTAACTTTTATTGATGGATTTTTTATGAAAATAGCAACTGATGATCAAAGTAACTAGTGCTGTTACTATGGATGAGATAATGCAACTCACAATCACTGATGAGACTGCTACAACAACATTACTACTGCATTCACCT